ACTTCAACTCCCATGGCTGGCTGGGGCAGCCATGGGAGTTGAAGTCCACTCATCTTAAAGTGGCCAAGTTTGGACAACACTGCATTAGAAGCAACACTGTGGGTGATTAGCACAGACAATCTCAAAGGGTTAGAGAAAAATCCATCTAAGTACAGGTATGTGCTTTAAGATGGACTAGGTATGGAGTGGGCATGCAGTCCAAGTCCCCTCTGAATCCCTTTCTCTGTGCAAAGGAAGAGATGTGTAGGAGAGATTTGAGCTTAAGGGAGGAGCTTCCTCTTCCAAAACCCTGTTTGGAATCTAGACCACTGTTTCTCAATGTCAGCAACTTTAAGATGTGTGGACTTCAATTCCCAGAATTCCCCATCAGTACTGCTCAGCCTCAGCGATTTTCTGGGAGTTGAAGTCCACGCATCTTAAAGTTGCTGAGGTTGAGCACCACTGATCTAGACTGCTTGCGGATAAGGGAAGAAGATGCACCCCTTGGGCACTATTGACTTGATTATTTTTCAGATTTATAGACAAATATATATCAGTCCCTTGATCATTCTGGGAGGCTACAGCAATATCTTAAAATAGCCATAAAAACACTTATTTAAAAATGTAACCAGTAAAAATATAAACAAATTCAAGAAAATCATAAAATGCTTTTCTGCCTGAATAAGGAAGGTTTCAGGGGTAGAAAGGCCTTCTCACCTAGTGAGAGTAGGAAGCTTTATTCTATTTATTTTATATTTATTTTATATTTATTCCCAGGAGCAGCTTTTTCTACAACAGGGAAAGATTGAACCCTGTTTTTTTAGCTTTTGCTAGCATTTTAAAGTCACCTTTTATAATTACTGCTGGGTGATTATTATGACCTTTTATGACCCATTTTTCCTTCCTCAAAGGAGGGGCCTAAAGTATTTATAAAAATCCTAAGATTAATGGTTATATGGTGAACAATGGTTGAGCCACTACATTTTATTTCTGTTTGCTTTTCACTCTTTGCTGACTTCACAATCTCACCCACCCATATGTTACAGGATGAATAATTTATATTAGAACCCATAAATATTTCAATCGCTCTCTTGTTTGCTTAGTGCATTTCTGCATTTCTATGTAAAATAGATTTTTGTCCTACATTGGCAATTTACCATGTCACAGTTAACTTGTGGTGGCTGTTTTTATGCAAAAAGCTCGGTCGGTGACATTGGCAAAGGTAGACGGAAAGAAAGAGCAGACAACCATGTGGGCACCAGCGAACAGGGATGCATTTGCTTCCATATCTCTGGCTGCCAGATGTGAGTGCTGGGGCCAGGCTTGCTGTTTTCTGCAGTCTTTGTATGTCCTTAGAGCAAAAAGTGCACCTGAATGACCTGATTGTACTGTGGTCCATTGAGGACCGAAACAAAGTGGAATTGGGGGGAAGACAACCTCTTTTTTCTTCTGCCAGATGAACAGATTAGGTAGGCAAGGCAAGAACATTCTTATCTTTAAAATAATATTAAGACACCATGCTTTCCCTCTCCCTAGGTAATGATAATTGATAATACTGACCTGAAGCAAGATCTATTAGAGGAATTTGGATGTGACTGTATTTAATCCAAAGAATCACTGGGTTAGTTATAGATATTTATGTTATGTCACCAGGCCTGGGGTTCCCAGAGAACCAGAGACATGCTTAGATGGCTCCATTGTTGAGTTAGCTACCCTTATTCTCTCTTGCCTTGAGTTTGTATATTAGTTCTTTATCATATTTATCTTTTAATATTGATTTTTATATTTTTACATGGATTGTTATGTATATGTTGTTTTTAATTGCATTGTTGCATGCTGCCCAGAGTCGCTTTTCTGTGAGATGGGAAGCTATACAAATTTAATTAAGAAGTAAATATTTGCTCTACTTGAATCATGTTTCGAAATGCAGCTACATGCCAACAAGAACTGAAAATATACTGGTAGCTGTACAATTGGGATGGACAACCTTTTCATGTCTAAGGAACACGCTTGCTGAATATTTTATGGCTGCAGACTGCAGACTGACACTGAAGGGCTTACAAGAAAAATGTAAGACATAAATAAGAATACAAGAAATTCCATCTAAGCTGCTGCAAAACTATTTTAAAAAGTTTAAAGGGTGAGGAAAAAGTTAAGGGATCACACTAAGATACCAACTTCAGTGCTGTATGTTGAGAATCACTGATTAGGTCATAATGGTAATGTGCAGAGGGATGTCATGACGCACACTCCATGCTTATTACTTGCACCTCAATTTCTGATACGTCACATTTTTTGCATCATGTGTCTTCATCTGTCTTCTGACCTCTCCCTATAGATACTATGCTGATAGTGACTGTTTTGTAAAATGAGAGGCTGCGTCTGTTTTTCATTTTTAGAGAATTCAAGGGAAAGTTGCACATAATTGCTTATTTATTTGTGTGATTGGCAAAAAAAATGAGGCTTTTTAACAAAGATTATATATATACCTGCTGTGTTCAGAGTTCCTATGTATTAACTTTACAATCCATATAACAAACTGTAAGATGGATCAGCGTTATTATCTCCCATACGCAGGTGTCTGGGAGGATATAACTTGAGTGCCTAATGAATTCGTGGTAAATAGAAGATACAAAACAAGGACTTCCAGATAGTCTTTAACATAGAACATGTACATAGTACAAGTTCTCCCTCAACAGAAGTATTAAGTATTGCCCTGAAAAACAAATGGATCTATTTGCAGTGATGTTGGATGGGATGGAGGAATTAATAATGAAAGGAGAAAACAGCAGTACATGAAATGTAGGATAGGGGAATAAAATTAGCCACAGATAGTGGTCAGTCACAAAACAGTTTATGATGTGACACAAGCATTCTTGCACTGATGAGCTGCTTCATTCACTCAGTGCTGTAAGAACTCTGCCTGTGTGAAGGTGCAGCGTGTTACATTTCTTCCATTCCAGCTCAAATATGTTATGATGAAATCAATCATTATAATCTCTTTGTTCAATAATGGCTTTAAGATCAGTGACATGGTATCCCAAGGAGCTGAAATAATCCCTTTGGTTTTCAGACATTGCCTTTTCTAAGGCAGAATTGTGCATTTCTTCTTTTATATAGGCACTGGCCAGTTTATCCTGCATAGGAACTGGACCATTTATTCTTTTTCCTCCGGGATGCTGATTTAAATTCTGTAAAACATTGATGCATCTTTCACTGGTTTGTCTTTTGTTTTGTCCCTTCCTTTGCTCTAGAACTGCCCTCCCGTGCCAGCATGCAGAAGCTATTTCAAGCCAGTGAAACAAGGGACTGTTTACACTAGAAGAGCATGTGCTTTATGAAGACAATTGGACAATTAATAAAGTTGCCCGGGCCCCAGAATGTTGCAGGCTTCTTCTCCAGGCAGAGCCATCCCATAAGAAAGAAATGAAAAAAGAAAGAAAGAAAGAAAGAAAGAAAGAAAGAAAGAAAGAAAGAAAGAAAGAAAGAAAGAAAGAAAGAAAG